CTCATGAGCTGGTGCATGTCTGTGTGCTTTCTTGACCGGTTGATTTAAATGGATTATTTGATTACAGTGAAATTGCTGCGGATGAAGTGCGAAGTGTAACGACTGGAGGAGATGATGAAAGTGATGTGGAAAATGGATTTTATCCTGACGCCAAGGGGATCAACATAGAGAAGAAGAAATTCCTTGGGCGATTTGCGATCTCTGCAGATGAGTTCACCTCTGAGCTGGTAAGGTCTTCAATCTTTTGATACCGCTTGCAGGACACCTCGTGCAGCCTGTGCTGCACTGTACTACCTTCCTCACCCGCATACAACAACGTACGGTAATTATAGCTGTATTTAGACTGAAAGAGACCCCAAATACAGCGATAATGATCGTACGTTGTATTCGGCGGAAGAAGGTAGTTGGCCTTGTTGAACAGTGAATAATGAATATGGTAGTATCCTTTCAATTATTCCAAATCCAACCAGAGTAGAGAGAAAAGGAAGTCCTGACTCCTGATCAATCAACTTGAATGGAGATACTCGTTTTTTTTTGTTTTTTTTTTTTTTCCTTTGTGAAAAGGGCGACAGCCTTGAGATATCATTGTCAAACTAACCTGCCATAGGTAATTCCGAATTTGATTTCATTCGTCTGGCTCAATCTGTCTTTTAGTTTTCAACACTATATACATTGGTGTACGGGCATTGTATGGCATACACCAACTGAGGTAGGCACATTGGTAATCAAGGGGATTTCAGAATTGAGTATCCTATTATCCTTGCATACACCAGCTGAGGTAGGCACATTGGTAATCAAGGGGATTTCAGAATTGAATATCCTATTATCCTTTCAAAAATTTCAAAGTTCAACTGGGATAAAGAGTTGGGAGTTGTGCTCGGTTGGTATTAAATAAACTTTTGAAACACCGACCCAAGTTCGAATCCAGGTACAATCAGGTGGCCAGAACAATACCATTCTGAATCACCTAGCGCCTGGTCAGTTCAACAGCTGTATTTGGGCATCATTCAATCCAGATACAGCGATAATGACAGTATGTCCTATTCGCAATGGAAGACAGTAGAAGAGGACGTTCTTGTCAGTAATACTCCACGAGTGCTGTGTTTGTGCCCCTCGCTAGGGGATCAGCGAAAGGTTCCATTGGTAAGTGTCCATCTGGCCTTGCCCCACCTCCAGTTCCTCCAAATCATAATGTCATATCCAATTATTCTGTGAGTGTATTTCATGAATTTTCATCTGATGGACCATGCTCTTTCTAAAGCATTACTTTTTCAGTGCAGTTTCTGTGATTCATGCAATGTGTGATGAAGTTAGATGAACAAGATATGCGGAAAATGGGGGGATTAGCTTCTTTGTTACCTTTTACTTACATGCTAAAAGGCAGCATGTCTGGTCTAGATCAGTCTTGGGCGGGAGTTTGGCAGCGTTGCTTGGCCGGAAATCAGTGGCATTTGCAGAACTTCACAAGACTCTGTAGTTAAAACGTACCCCTCGATTCTTTAATTTTATTGTAGAAATAAAATCAAATAATAAGCGATGTAATAACAAAATAAAGAAAGAAAAAGAGGAGAAAAGATTGTCATCCGTGCACAGTAAATGGTCTAGTAGCAATTCTTTTTGGTTTCGTTTCTCGAATCTTCAAAAAAAAGATAGATATTTAGACCTGCGTAGCACAGCAAACATGTTCGCCAAGTTTGCGAACAGGCGAACATGTTTGCGCATTCGCGCAAACCTGTAGCGCGTTTGTAAAAAAACGGCCTGCGAACAAGTCTCTCTTTGGGCGTGTGTGTGTGTGTGTGCGCATGTGTGTGTGCGCATGTGTGTGTGTGTGTGTGTGTGTGTGTGTGTGTGTGTGTGTGTTGAGGGTATCGAGGTGGGAGTAGGTTATGGAGGGGGAAAGGTGTAGGAGGGCGCGAATCTGATGGAGGAGAGTAATGGAGGAGGAGGGTGTGATGCCTCTGAAACAGCGAAGTGCCTAGAACTAAAAATAAAAAATAAAAATAAAAATAAATGTTTGTGTTCGCTTGTTTTTGGATGGTGTTTGTGTTTGCCTGCGAACGTTCGCTTGTGCGGGCGAACGCGAATGGGGTGCTACACAGCTTTAGAGTCTAGACCTTATTAAGAAGCAATCTTCTATGCACAGTGAATGGTCTGATGGCGATTGATTTTAAACTGAGCTCAAGTTTCAGCTTCTTCGAAGGGCTTTGTTGGCTTTTGTGTCTTTTCTTTTCTGCAAGAAGTGCCAAGAACCTTCCGCCATTAGTACACCTGGGCCTGGTGGGTTTCCGCTACGCGCCACGCTTTTACGAACCACCAGCGATGTTCTTTTTGCCTTTTTTGGCTGGCGCAACCCCGAGGTGCAATTTTTTTTGCACTAGGCAAGGAAACGTTTTCTCCAAGGCTGAGGCCATGTACTCGTGGTTCTACGATATTCTGTCTATTTGGAGTTTCAGCCACATTCAGCCTCATCGTACGACAGTCTCTGCCCTGCTTGCAGGTTCTGCCCTCTGTCTTTTTGGAGTGTGAGCTGTGTAACACATGCATGTCTTTTTTTTTTCCTTCTTTGCCCGGCGCTGCCCCGAGGCGTGGATTTTTTGGAGTAGGAAACGAAACATTTTTTTCTGCAAGGCTGGGGCCATGTACTGGCGGTTTACGATATTCTCTCTATTATTGTCTTGAAACTAGTTGGAATTTCAGCCACATTCATCCTCTTCATCCGACAATCTCTGACCTGCTTGCAGGCTCTGCCCTCTGCCTTTTTGGAACCGAGTTCCACCCAATGTTGATTGGAAACGAGTTCCATGAAAGCTGCGTAAGCTGCGTAACACTCGAATGTTTGTGGAAATCTGTTCCAATCAACAGTGGGTTTTCTCAAAAAAAAAAAAAGACAAAAAAATCAACATTTGGTTTTGCTGAACTGCAGTGGATTCATGCTACCGTCTTCACCCGAATAGGACGCCCGGTAAAGTTTATCCCTGCATCTGGACACAAAATTGCCCCAGATACGGCCATAATGACCAGGCGTTGCATTCGGCTGAAGACGGGGCTGGATGTTCCGTCTTTTTGCACTAGCGGATTTTTTGGGAACTCATGATCTGGAACCAGGTAGGTTTTCGACGAAGTCCATCCTGCTACATATGTACTGACTGCTTCAACTGGGACCTGATTTGTTGAGAAACGCCTTTCCCATCTCCGACCAGGTTCCCCCCCCCCCTTTTCCATGAGGTATGTCCTGGTACATTGTATACTGACTGCTTCAACTCGGATTTCTGTAGGTTGGAGCGAAGTCCAGAAATATTGTTGGTTTGAGAGGGAAGCTGCCGTCCTGGATCAAGCTGCCAAACTCTGTGGCTCTTCCTTTCGGAGTCTTTGAGAAAGTTCTCTCGGACAAAATCAACAAGGTGACGTGTGCTTTTCGATCCGTTCTGTTGCTTTTAATAGCTCATTGGTTGAACGTGTGTGCTTCCCCCCCCCCACCCCCCCCCTTTCTGTTGCTTTTTAATAGCTCGCTGAATGTGTGAATTTTCCCCCGTTCTGTTGCTTTCAATAGCTCGTTGGCCAATATATCTTCTGTTGCGATGGATGGTCCTTGAGGGCTTCGTATGGGGCCAATCGTTTCATAATGAAATGCCATCATTTTTTGAATTTTTTTCTTCTGTTAGTTTGTGTGATGTGGTTTACCAAACCTGCCAGTCATTTGATTTCTTTCTTCCCACGATGCCCACGTGTTATTCCTCATCTGTTGCAAAGAATAATAGTTATTTTTCTTTCTATCTTGTCCACTAGCCTCCTGTCTGTTGATAATTCATTGAATCCAGACAGGATATGGGTTGTTCTAGCTATGTCCCTGGCATGTCTGCCTCTCTTGACCTGCCTGCCCATCTGGCTGTCCTCCTCTTCTTGCTCATGCTCTCACGAAAGCCTGCAAGCATGATATATGCCAGTTTGCCTGTCCCTCTTCTTCTCTAGCAAAATGCTGCTGGTAGGCGACCTTCACTGGATTTGAGTGGAGAATGATTTTTCACTCAAATTATCAAATTAGCATAGTTTCATGATTTCACAGTTTTCATTCAAATTTGTTTCATAATTTTACTAGTGAATTTTAGTCAGCCAGATCAAAACCCAGTCTACTGATGTGACGTGGTCGTGAAGGGATATGAAGTTCACTATACAAACGATCGTGCCAATCATGCGGTAAGTGCACTAGTGTCTTGCCCCAAAGAGAACATATTGTTACGAATGGTCATTATGCCTGCATTTCGGGCGAATTCCAGTCTAGATACAATGATATTGACCTTATGTTTGATTCGGGGGAAGACCGTAGGAACAGCAGCGGTTAGGTTATGATTGATTGTAGCTTTTCGAAGAAAGTCGAGCCTGTAAGGGTTGTATGAAGCACAACACAGCTGTTGAGGTATCAACAGGGTTGGAATGGAGTGATGGATGAAGGCGCATTTGAGCAATTGTGTCATTGTTACTTCTTTCATTGATTATTGGGATGAGGCTCTCTGGAAACTTCAAAAGAAAAAGAAAAGAAAAAACGCATGTGGGGTCGGGCAATGCATGACCCAAACATCGTTGTGTCAACCCGATTCCAGCAGGATTTGAACTCAGGATCTGTTTATTTAACAGTGGCACGTGTCCACTGTCCAGCATTCAGCCGCGTGTGCTGGGCCATTGGTTGGTGAACAACATACTGTGTCCTCGGTAGTGTTCTGTGCAAGGAAAGCAATTCTGTCATCGCTACTTCCTTTCTTGATTATCAGGACGAGGCTCTCTGAAAACTGAGAAAAAAAAAGAAAAAGAAAAAGAAAAAGAAAAAAGTTGCTCAGAATGACCATGCACTGAAGGTTTAGAGGCTGGTGATGTGGTGCCTTGCTGCGGATGTGTTGCTGCTATATTGAGCCGAAATTATAATCTCTCTCTCTCCCTCTCTCTCTCTCTCTCTCTCTCTCTCTCTCTCTCTCTCTCTCTCTCTCTCTCTCTGTGTGTTTGTGAGTGTGTGTGTGTGTGTGTGTGTGTGTGTGTTTGTGAGTCTCTGTGTGTGTGTGTGTGTGTTTGTGAGTCTCTCTCTCTCTCTCCCCCTCTCCCTCCCTCTCTCTCCCTCCCTCCCTCCCTCCCTCCCTCTCGGCGAGTCTTCCTCCCCAAGCTATGGCGTCAAGGTCAGTCCTATGCACCCACACTGTCGCTGCGGACCTGCACTCTCACCAGACCTCTCCTTACTGGTGCTAATGCAACTACTACTAGCACTCTAGCTACCTAGTGCTGGTCTCCAGCAGGCTGCTGGCGAATACAGCAACTAAATTCTCTGTCCTGACTAACTTGTGAGGCCCAGCCATATACCTGGTAGTCGTGGATTGTCATATCTAGTCTGATTTGATGGTCCAGGAGGATGGTTGAAGTTGTGGTCTGAGGTCCAGGCCCAAAATAAAGCTTGGGTTCCAGCCGGACGTCCAGACCTATGTGCCATATAGGCAGGCACCCCGAGCCCTGCTAGAAATGGAAGGGCTGGACCGGGTGCTAGTGGACCAAAAAAAATCTCCAGTCCAACGTGGGCAAATGGCCTGGATACACTATGCACGAAACAAAAAAAAAAAGCGCGAGTTTCAGGCATCTTTCCACAGAAGTTGACCAAATATATCTGGACCAGATGTATTTGGCCACCTTCTGTGAAAAGGTTCAATCACTTCTTTTCCATCTTGCGAGTTTTCTGGCATCGCCTCTAAAAATGGGACAAACACACCTACCACGGACATCAGAAATCCAGACCAACATTATCCCGTAACGGACGCAGACTGGAACAGACATCAGACAAGGCTGTGTGCGTTTTCCCATCAGAAAAGTAGCCTATGTGTTTCATTCGTCCTTGTTTTTGACTGAGCATGCATTCTTGTGTTTTGGTGAAAATGAAAAAAAAAAAAAAAAAAAAACAGGATGTTGCCAAGGAGATTGAAGCACTCTCGAAGGAGCTGCATGCTGGCGATTTGTCGAAGCTGAAGGAGATCCGTAAGGCTGTGCTCGGATTGAAGCCACCACAGGAATTGGTATGTTTCACTCCCGTCCCAGGGGCATATGCTCACACTAGTGCCTTTCACCTCCAAATATATCATTGTATCTTGTATAGTCACACTGTGGGCGACGTCCTTCAGTAGTAGCGGTACGCTAGGCCACATGAGGTAGCATCTTCCGTGCACAGTCCTTTCTCCTTTGTGGTCTAGATGCTGGCTTGGTGTTTGGGATCAACGGGATGGCCGGACTCCGTATTGAAAGCGATGTTTGGTGCATAGCGTCTTCACCCGAATAGAAAGCCTGGTCATGATAGCCGTATTTATTTACATCCATAGGGTTTGAACCCGGGTCTCTATTTCGACAGTTCATGGGTGAACCAACTGGGCTAGGCCAACTGGGCCAGGCCCCTTTGTTATCAACCTTTTTTTTCCCCTAACAAGATATATTCTTCTCTGAAATATACCTCACACTACCTAACTACCTGACAAAGAAGGAACCGGAGTGCAAGCATCTAACTCCCAGGGCAAGGCCTCTAAATAGCCCCCAGCAAGAGAGGATGGCAGGACTTGCCAAGACCAACGAGGGGGGGCAAGCCGACTATCTCAGCACACAGCCGGGCGTGGGCAGTTGAACCCACGACCTCTTGAATGCTACTTGCGTACGGAACTAACTGTT